TGCTAGTAAAGTGGGTGAAATCAGAAGAATACAGAGGGAAATCAGTGAGAGATTTACCTGAGCGAGGAAAGTTTGACCGTTGGAAGCAAAAAATCAACGGCCAAAGCTCGGAGACCCAAAGGTCACTATGTTTGACCTCTGGGTATTGAATATTCATCATGAGACTCTGAAGAAGATCCATGCATGCTTCGATTTAACATAACACAAGAGAAATCTGAAGATTTAATGTTTCATGTTTAAGCTAGTTTTTTGGATTTGGGCGTTTGAATCTTAAAGACGAAAATGGGAAAGAGTTCAGCGAGGATCGTGGGTATGAGGGACAAAAGGTATGATTTTCTAGGTGATTTGAGACCTTGCACGAATTTGTGCAAGGTTCTCTTGACTGATTAGGATGATGGGAATAGAGAGAAAAAAAGGATAAGGGGAAAGAAGGGCGACTGGGCAACATGTAAATGATTTAGGGTTTGAGGGGGATTGGGTCGTCTCTAGGGGTTATTGTTGGGAGATGGGATGATCAACGACCATGATAATTCAGGTTTAAATGATTTTAAGGAGAAAATGTGATGGCCATTAAATCTTCTATTTTCAACGGCTACGATTGAATCTAATGGGGTATTGAAATTAAAGAAACAATGGAGATAAATTTAGAGCAGTTGATCTAGGGTACGAATGACTTAGATCCATTGTGCTTATTTTGTGAGTGTGGGAGGCGGGCAACGTGGCAAGTTTTGATCGGCTCAAATGGAGTGGCATGGATTGCCAACTTGGAATGAAGGGTTGTTTGGAATGGATATTTTCGAATTGGGCTCTTGTGTTGGGCCAAAATTAATTTAAATGGTAGTCATTGTGTGTTTAATTAAAAAAATTACAATTATAGCCTCTTAGTCTTTTAACCCTTTTAAAATTAATTTAAATAAACTTATTATTTCCAATAAAATATCGTAAAATTATAAACATCAAATATACTACTAATTATTGTAATTAATTATTTATAAAATACTTTGTTTTCTAAATTATAAAATTAATTTTAAATTATTAACATAGTAATCCTAATTAATATAAATTTTAAGAAGTAATTTGTTAAATTAATTATAAAACCTCTATGGTGTATTTTAAATTTTAAGAAGTAATTTGTTAAATTAAGTATAGAACCACTATGGTGTATTTTAAAAATTATTTTAATAATATTAAAATAGTAAGATATTTCTAATTGTATAATACTTAATACTAGGTTATTAATTTCAAAACTAATTCTTAACTAATTTGTAAAAATATGTATTGATTGATAGAAAATACTTTCAAAATATTCATTGTAAATTATTAAGTACAAATAAATTAATTTTAAAAGGGAGGGTCAAAATTGGTCGTCAACAACTACCCTTCTTTGACCAGAGACGATGAAAGAGTTTTCGGGCAAAGATATTGAACCAAAGCCAAATTTGTCCCGACTTTAGGCATATGTTGCAAGAATGGCATTCGGATTTAAGAAAGATTATGAGTTATAGGATTAGGAGTTAAGGAAGATTCTAGGATGATTTTGGGGAATTGCTCACATACCTCAGGCTTAACGAGGATCAGGCCTCATGTAGTTCTGGAGTGGGGACTTTGAGAAAGCTATGTTCGCAGGAATTGCCTCAGTATCGTATCATGACGATACTGCGAGCGGAGGATTTGGCACTCGTGATAGCTTGAATTTGCGGCTTGACTTAGAAAATTTGAAGAAATGGAGTTCCACTGATCATTTTGAGTTTGAGCTTGGATCCTTGGCCTGCTAACGAGTTTGATGTCCTTCATAGCGTTATAGTTTGGCCTGCTGCTTAGAAGGAGTTCCACATTGCAATGTTTGTTCCTGCAAAAAATAAAATACACACATACCCATATATTGCAATGTAGAATATGTTAAGATGTGATGTAAATGATGCATGAATGATGATGCATGGCTGTCGGCGAGCTGTTATTTGGGATCGAGATTATGGGATACTTAAACTTGACTCGGTTTGTTAGCCGGACTGTGTACTGTTCCACAGTTGTCGGAGCATTGAGTCTCCTCGTGGCGGCAGTAGTTGTAGAATGCATCTCCGCTTGTTGGGAGAGTTTTGCATTGAAAAAGTGTCTCCGCTTGTGGGGAGAGCTTGACTTATAGAGTGTGTTTCCGCTTGTTGGGAGAACTTTGCACTGAAAAGTGTCTCCGCTTGTTGAGAGAGCTCGATTTGTAGAGTGCGTCTCAGCTTGTTGGGAGAACTTTGCACTGAAAAAATATAAAGTAATCTCTACTTGGGAGTGACTTGACTAAAACTTAATCGTTCCTGAAGTTGCATGAGCAAAACGTCAAAATATTAAAGATAATAACAAAGGAAAAGAAAAGCATGCCCAAGAGTTACTTTTGACTGCGAAGCTAAGTTATGGCCATCGATTGGCAGAACGTCGGTAACGAAGTTTGTGACTGTCTATTCTGGCCTCCGTTGTGACGGAGTGACAGTGCGGATTGTTCTGTTGACGGAGTGAACAGTTTGCTATATACAAGGATTCGATTGGCAAAACCGACGTTTGATTTTGTACAGGGAACTCCAATTGGTGAAGCTGGCGATTTGCTATATATAGGACTCCAATTGGTGAAGCTGGCGGCTCATTTTGTACAAGGTGCTCCGATTGGTTGAGCAATCGGTTTGTTATATACATGTCATCAATTGGCAAAGCCAGCGGTTTATTTTGTACAAGGTGCTCCGATTGTTCGGGCAGATGGTTTGCTATTTACAGTATGCCTTTTCCGCATTAGCGATCCGACTCCAAGATACCTGCAAAGGTTTCACAAATTAGTTTTAGTTGTACCAGAAAATTTAAATAAAGGAAGGTGGATGATAATCCTGAGAAAGTGGCAGATCCGTCATTTGCTCCAATGTATTCCCTATTTTTCCTTGCATCTTGTTGATCCTGCGCTCAAAGAAAAATTCTTAGTGGGAGTGAGGGAGTTGGATTGTGTCGACCACAGTATCAGTTTTGTCACAACCCTTGATATGGCTATGCCACGAAGTTCAGTAGGTGGAAGAAATTATAACATTTAGAAAACACTTTTTAAAAAATTTTGTTTTAAGGTAAGTGCCGTCGTTCCGGATTATGACATGCTACGAAAGGTTCTCTGAACGCGAGTTTTGCTTTTGAAAGCTCTATCCCTTTGATATCGATCCCCCATGATGCTTTCGCCGACGTGGCTGCTTTTCCGTTGTGAATGCATCCTAATTCGAACTAATGCATTACAAAGGTTTTCCTAAGGTTATGACCGAACCCTTTCAGGTTGCCTACATATCGAAAATAGAATCAGGTTTGAACTTAGTTCGTGGATGATAAGAATATGATGAGTATGACCGAGCCTAACTCAGGCAACCTACGTATCCAAATGGAATCAAGTCAAGACGTAGTTAGATTACAATAGATGTAAAATGATGAGATTAAGAATGAAATGGCCGAGTCTGACTTAGACTACCTACGTATCTAAAAGGAATCAGGCCAGAACGTAGTTCTATTACAAAAAACGACTGAATCCGATGAGGATTGCCTACCTATTCTTTCTTGAGGAAATCAAATTGTCATAGTTTTAGAGCGATCATACAAAATGATATTTGTCTTTTTCTATTACAAAAGAAAGGAGGGAGAGAAACCGAACCCTACGTGGGTTGCCTACATATCCCTCCATGAGAAATCAGGTTGAACGTAGTTCTGTTACAGCAAAACCTAACTCTATTTTCCTTCAAACCTAGTATCTCTTGATTGCATTTGAGTTGATGGGCTTCGTGCTGACTCTTTCGCCCATTTATGCCAAGATTAGAGCTCCACCCAACAATACTCGGTGAACCATGTAAGGACCTTGCCAATTTGGTGTGAAATTTCCTTTGGCTTCTTCCTGGTGGGGGAAGACTTTCTTCAGAACCAATTACCCCGGTGTGAACTGGCTAGGCTTCACCCTTTTGTTAAATGCATTGGACATCCTATTCTGATATAGCTGACCATGGCATACTGCATCCATTCTCCTCTCGTCAATGAGCATGAGTTGCTCATGTCTAACCTGTATCCACTCTGCATCGTGCAACTTGGCCTCTTGGATGATCCTTAAAGATGGTATCTCGGCCTCTGCGGGTATCACAACTTCGGTGACGTATACTAACATGTACGGTGTTTCCCCGATGGATGTTCTCATGGTGTTCTAATAACCCAATAAGGCGGAGGATAGTTTCTCGTGCCATTGCCTGTGATTTTCCACTATCTTTCGAAGAATTCTCTTGATATTCTTGTTTGTTTCCTCAACTTCCCCATTTATTTGTGGTCTGTAGGCTGTGGAATTACGAGGATGATTCTGAACTTCTCGCAGATTTCTTTCATAAGATCACTATCGAGGTTAACAGCATTGTCAGTGATGATTGACTTAGGTATCCCAAATCGGCAGATGATGTTGTTTCGAACGAAATCCGCCACTACTTTTTTTGTGACAGTCTTGTAGGTAGAGACTTTGATCCATTTGGTGAAATAATCGATGGCTACCAAGATGAAGTGGTGCCCATTTCATGCAGTGGGCTCTATAGGTCCAATCATGCCCATGCCCCAAGCGGCGAACGGCCAAGGCGAACCCATTACATTCAATTCATTAGGCGGAACCCGGATGAAATTCCCATGGATCTGGCATTGGTGACACTTTTTTACGTAGCGGATACTATCACTTTCCATGGTCATCCAAAAGTATCCGTCTCTCAAGATATTTTTGTGAACCCATTCATGTAGGGTCCGCACATTCCTGCATGTATTTCTTCCAATAATCTGGTTGCCTCGGCGACATCTACACATCTCAACAAACCCAAGTTTGGGGTCCTTCTATACAGGACTTCCCTGTTAAGGAAAAAGTGATTTTCCAACCTCTTGAGTGCTCGCTTTTGACTATTAGTGGCATTCTCCGGGTACTCTCTTGTTTTAAGGAATCTCTTGACGTCGTGGCACCATGATTTGTTGTCTGGTTATTCGTCTAAATGAAAGCAATAGGCATGTTGATCCCTAATCTCTACCTCGATAGGGTCGATGTAGTTCTTGTCTGGATGCTGAATCATGGACGATAGAGTTGCAAGGGCATCGACGAACTCATTTTGGATCCTGGGAACGTGCTTGAACTTAATCTTCATGAATTTCTTGCATAACTCTTTTACACAATGCAGATACGAAAGGATCTTGACATTTTTGGTAGACCACTCCCCTTGGACTTGGTGTATCAACATATCAGAATCACCTATGACCAAAAGTTCTTTGATGTTCATGTCAATTGCGATTTTGATCCCAATGATGCATGCTTCGTATTTAGCCATATTATTGATACAGGGGAATCTTATCCTTGCTGATGTTGGATAGTGCTGTCCAGATTCCGAAATTAGGATTGCCCCAATTCCTACTCCCTTGAAGTTCGATGCTCCATCGAAAAACATTCTCCATCCAGGATATGACTCTGCAATATCTTCTCTGGCAAATAATACCTCTTCGTTAGGAAATTATGTAGTGAGAGGCTCGTAATCCCCATCCACTGGATTCTCTGCGAGGTGTTCGGCTAAAGCTTGTACTTTAAATCGCCTTTTGGGTTATGTACACAATGTCATATTCGCTGAGGATAATTTTCCATTTAGCTAGCTTTTCGGTAGACATCGACTTCTGAAAGATATACTTGAGCGGGTCGAGCCGATATATCAGATGCGTAGTGTATGCTGACATGTAATGCCTTAGTTTCTAGGCGATCCAAGTCAGAGCACAACAAGTGCGCTCTATCAAAGTGTATTTGGCCTCGCATGGTCTGAACTTCTTACTTAAGTAGTAGATGGCCTGCTCTTTTCTCCCAGTTTCGTCGTGCTCTCCCAATACACATCCGAAGGCATTATCCAAGACTGGCAAATATAGTAACAATGGCTTCCCGGTCTAGGGGAGAACCAACACTGGTGGATTTGACAAATATTCCTTAATTCGGTTGAAGGATTTATGACACTCTTCTGTCCATTTTGTGGCAGCGTCCTTTTTCAACAACTTGAAGATAGGTTCATAAATTATTGTGGACTGAGCTATGAAATGACTGATGTAATTCAATTTGCCCAGCAAACTCATCACATCTTTCTTACTCTTGGGTGGTTGCAACTCCTAAATGGCTTTGATCTTCGATGGATCCAATTCTATCCTTTTATGCTTATGATGAAGCCTAACAATTTTCCAGTAGGGACTTTGAACACGCATTTTGCCGGATTCAATTTCAAACTGTACCTCCGTAGGCACTCAAAACATTTCTTCAAATTGTCCAAATGTTCTGAACTCTTCCGAGACTTGATGATGATGACATCCACATATACCTCGATCTCCTTATGAATCATGTCGTGAAAGAGGGTTGTTATGGCCCTCATATAAGTGGCACCGGCGTTATTGAGGCCAAACGTCATGACTCTATAGCAGTAAACTCCCCAAGGCGTGGTGAAGGCTGTCTTTTGTGCATCTTCCTCGTGCATCAAGATCTGGTGGTATCCACCGAAACAATCCATGAACGACTGTAGTTCATGCTTTGTGCAATTGTCGATAAGGATGTGGATATTTGGTAAATGGAAGTCGTCCTTCAGGCTAGCTTTGTTGAGATATCGGTAATCCATGCATATCCTGATCCTCCCATATTCCTTGGGTACTAGGACGATATTTGCTAAACAACTGGGATAATTGGTGACCCTTACTACATTCGCCTCTATCTACTTGGTTACTTCTTCCTGTATCCTCAAACTCAGGTCGGGCTTAAATTTTCTGGGCTTTTGCTTGACTGGTGATCTGGCGGGATCGGTAGGCAGTTGATGCGAGACAATATCAGTACTTAATCCCGGTATGTCATCATATGACCATGCGAACACATCAATGTATTGTCGAAGGAGCTCGACCAATTCTTCCTTCTGCTCTGCTTCTAGATGGATACTGATTCGCGTTTCTTTCACATCTTCCTGGTTTTTGAGATTGACCACTTCTGTTTCTTCAAGGTTGGGCTTTTTCTGACCTTCTAGCTGTTCAATTTCTTATGTAAGATTGTCTGGCATCATACTCCCGTCGTATTTATCGTAATCTGGGTTATTTCTCTCGAAGGTTTCATTACATGTCACAATCATAGAACGCGGGTTTTTATCAATTTGATTACTGAAAAGAAAAACTAAGCATAAATGAAGTCGTAAATAAATTTACAATAATTTAAGAAAATGATTCTTTTTATTTCATCAAAAGTGGAACGTCTAAGCATTCAAAAGAGGCAAATGACAAAAAGGTACAAACATGGTGCAAGCCTCAATTGACTGTGCGTTTTCAAAAGAATATTTTTACAATTCCACACTACCAAGACTCTCGGCGAACCAAAGACGGACTGGCGGTCCAATTCTGCAGTTTTTCTCCTTGTTCGACATCCCGAATGGTCAGTGTCTTGATGTCAGTTCCTTCATAGAATTCTTCAATCATAGTCACGAACATGCTTCCCATTTAATCGGCGATATCATCTTCTGGCGCAGAACTCTTGCTTGTACCCGAAACATGCTCTAGCACAAAAGCCTTTTTCTCAGAGCTACCAGTGCAAGTTTTTCCCATCGAAGGTTGATATCCTATGTCGGTCCTTCCTTTCTACCCATTTGGCTCAATTGGTTCTGTAATCCCTTCTGATCTGGCTCCTAGCCCAGTTCTTGATATGTATCCATATTTTATCATTTTCCTCATGGCCATCTTTGATCTATACGGCGACCGCATTCCCAAGTTTTGCTTAGTTTCTTCTATTTTGGTAGTCCGCATGATTTCTACTGCATGGAAAGCAACTCTGTCTAGCTCTTCAATGAATGGGACTGCATGCTCCAAATAAGCTGATTGACCCCATTCACCATAGACCACGATCTCTTGACAACTCTGCTTAAATTTCATGCATATGTATCCAGGGTCTTCCCAGCAGTAAGTTGTATAGGAAATATACATTACTTGAGACATGTATGGGAAATTCAACTGTTCTGGTCTGCAAAGCCAAATAAATTTCTCCAATGACATCCTTCTGCAAACCATCAAAATCCCTTACCCTCACATGGATTTCCTTGACTTCCCTCAGGTGGATTCCCAACTCTCACAGAGTAGAGAGCGGGAAGATATTAAATCCTGAACCTCCATCAACCAGCACTCGGGACACCACATTGTCCCCATATTTGACAGTGATATCTAGAGCTTTATTGTGACTCGTGCCTTCGGCGGAAAGCTCGTCTCTTCGAAAAGTGATCATGTTTTCTTCAACCATTTCCCCAATAGATGCAGCCAATGCCTCACTGGTGGTGTTGCTTGTCACACTTACCCCACTTAGTACTCTCATAAGGGCATCCTTATGACTATCGGAGCTCAGCAGCAAGTCCATGATTGATATTTGCGTCGGAGTTTTCTTTAGCTACTCCTCCACAGAATATTCTTTGGTTGACATTCTCTTCCAGAATTCTACGGCCTCGGGGTTTTTTATATTTCTTCTTTGAATCTGCTCTCATCCTAAATTCCCTCAATTTGCATCTTCAGTAGAGTAGCATCTCCCTGACCTAGTCATACCGTAGGCTGCTGCGGAGTCTGTCATCTTGGCTTTCCCTTTTTGCTGATAGGACCACGAGATAGTTTTGTATTCCCGGCCCTCTTCGCCCCATATAGCAATGGCAGGTTGTCGCTAATAAGTCTGAACCATCACCGTGGGTCTCACTTATATTGTGATCATCAGAGTCCTTTGAGGTGGGATCCTTGCGGCCTCTGCATTTCCTATCGTGATAATAGTTCCTTTCAAATCATATTCTTCATCCAAGGTGATCATGTTGACCCCCTGATTCCGGTGATTCGGTAGCCGATTGCGATTCACATTGGGCAGAGCCTGAGTGCACTGAATGGCTTCACTTTTGATGAATGTTTCAATTTTATTTTTCAGCTTAAAAAATCTTCAGTATCATGTACATGCATGTTTGAATAGTACAAGCATCTTTTGGTTGCATCAAAATACTTTGAGGGATAATCAGGGACCCTTACTTCCATTGGATGTATTAATCTTGATCTCCTCAATCTTTCAAACAATTGAGCCAGAGGCTCAGCAATCGGGGTATAATTTCTGGGACCCTTCTCTTCAAAATTTGGGCCAGGGCGTGGTGCATAAGTAGGTCGGTTTTGATGAGTGGTGGTTTGTACAGAAGCATATGGTCGTTGTAGATTTGGGTTGTTATGGGATCGAGGAGGGTTATATTGAGGTTGTGAGTGGTAATATGGTTGTGTATTGTAGACTAGAGCGTAGGCGGGTGGTGGTGAATGATTGTTTTGGGGAATAAGAAGTGTTTCCATGATGTGGGTTGGGTTGATAGTAAGGGACGACTGCTGAAACTTCTTCTTGTTTCTTCTTTCCACTGCCGATTGACCCTGATTGGATTGCCTTGCTAGCTGCTTGCACTACAGCCATGGATTGTACTTTGCCGAATTTTATACCTTCTTCTAAGAAATCTCCCATCTTGACCAGTTCAAGGAATTTATGTCCCATCATACCCATCATCTTTTCAAAGTATATCCCTTCTTGGGCCCTGATGAAATACTTAGTCAATTCACTGTCGTCCAATAGAGGTTGTGCCCTGGCAGCTTCTAATCTCCATCGATGTGCATATTCTTGGAATGACTCGGAAGGATTATTCTATAGGTTTACCAGTTCAAACCTGTCAGGAGTGATCTCTGTGTTGAATCAGAAGCGATTCATGAAATCTTCCGCCATGTCCTCCAGTTTCGCGGATCTTGTCGAGTATACCAGGTAAGTGCTTCTCATGCCAGGCTTCTTATGAACAACTTCATTCTCAGGTTCTCGTTTATTCCCACTCCAACTAACTTGTCACAATATGCCCTCATATGTGCGTGGCGATCACCAGTCCCATCAAAGATATCAAACTTTTGAGGCTTATACCCTACTGGGATATCCACATCTGGATGGATACACAGATCCTCGTAGTCCAAAATTTTACTTCCCCGAGTGACTTGGAGGTTCTTCATTTTTTTCTCAAGATTTGTAACTGCTCAGACACTGACTCCTCTTCCTTACGCCTAACTTCCCTTTCTATCTCGGCGTACTGGTCAATCTCATAAGGCACCCTGACCGTGACATGCAATGTAAATGTAGGTTAAAAAATGACATATGCAGCAGGAACATATCACTCATGGGTAGAGGTATATGTCACAAGTATGGGCTGATTTTGGTGAGTGGTAAAGGTGACTCAGTCACAAGGAGGGGTGTGAATTGTGTTGGTGGTAACGAGTGGGGTTTGTGGCATTTGAACGTAGCATTTGAACGTACTATGGTACATAGGGAGTGTAGATAGGAGGATTTGGTGGGTTTGCGGGGGTTACTGGAGGTATTATTTGAGTGGTGGGGACTGAAGTCGGGGTGTTGTTGGCCTGGCATGATGTGGAAGGAAAGTGGTTAGGAATTGAATCCAGAGGGGAAACGGGGTGGTTGCGGAAGCGTTGTCACGGCCAGATGTGCTAGTTCCCTGATATGTTGTACTTCCTCCCTTAAAGACTACATCTCCTGGGCCATCCTGGCTACATGTTCATCATTCCTTGTATCGTCCTTCTCTCCCGATCACCCCAGGCTATCTGCTTTAACCAGAGCATGTTCGGTTAGGTGTTTTGTAGCAGACATCTTCCCTTATGATCTTAGGTTGTACTGTGGTTCTGCCATTTTCGGGTCGACATAGACCAACTTTTCTTTTGGGGAGTAATAATAATGTAAGAAACTAAAAGAAAGAAAGAAAAAGAAACAGAAGTTAGTTTCTTCATTTGTACCAGCAAAAGATCATACAGAGCAATTAAATTACGTATTCAGGCAAGCGTGTGTCACGACCCAAAATCCAACTAGTCGTGATGGCACCTATCCCAATCCTCTAGGTAAGCCAACTTTCACTTATCCAATTCCAATAACAATTATTAAAGCAATTTAAGTAAATAAAGATCTTAATCTTATACATTCCCCAAGAAGTGGTAGTACAAATCATGAGCTTCTAAGAATAGAGTATACAACGCTGGTATGAAGCAAATACATCATCTGTTTGAAAATTACATAAACAAAGTTTTATGAATCTAAGGCTACCATGAACAAGAGTCAGCTACAACCGGAACGCAGGTACATTTTCAAATCCAGCTCCCACGAACACAGCAACATCAGCAGGCAACATCTGCACGCAAGGTGCAGAAATATAGTATGAGTACAACCGACCACATGTACTCAATAAGTAACAAACCTAATCTTAGGTTGAAAGTAGTGACGACCTTGTACCAAGATCGGATCCACCACCAATTACCAACAACAGTTCATAACAACGTAAAGCAAATAATACAAGAAGTAAGTCAAAGGTAAGATGCTCAGCAAAATCATGATTTCCAAAAAATAGTTCTGCTTGTTCAAGTACATCAGTGAGAACCCAAATCGTTTATCGAAGTTGCCAAAAATATGAATAAGTTTGAAAACAATAATTTCCCCAAAAATCCTTTCAATAATAATAAATAAGATGTTTCATTTTCTTTCCAGATAACCAGTGTAAAACAAATGCATCACTATGCCCATATGTCAACATGTGTGAAAAATCATGAATGATGTAATACCGTACAGCATGAGGAAAATACATCCCGATGCCTGTATGTCATGTGTGCATGTCAATGCAATGTATCTCAGAGATGAACTCATGTACTCGCACTCTCAAAGAACTCAATCTCACTTTCTCACACATTCCACTCATCATGCTCAATCACTTGGTACTGTATATGGCCAATCCGGCCCAGGGAAGATCCATTCCGGAATATACACATCAATTGATCATCAGTCACTCATTACCGAGTATGGCCAATCCAGCCCGTGGAGAAGATCCATCTCTAGGTATATAATGCTTCGGACAAGATTCATGTCCAGGGAAAATCCATCCCTCAATAATAACAACCGCGCTCACTGGGGGTGTGCAGACTCCGAAGGGGATCCTACAGCCCAAACGCTATAAACCGCACGGACAACTCACGTGCCATAATATCAATATTTGGATCCGCACGGACAACTCATGTGCTGCATGGACAACTCATGTGATATAGTATCAATATCCTCACAAACGGGCCCCCGGCCTCACTCAGTCATCAATCTCTCCAGTCTCACTCACGGGCTCTCAACGTCATGAAACTAGCACGACAACAATGATATGATGTATCAATACATAACAACTGAGACTGAGATATGATATGAATGCATGAATATGACTGAGTACGAAATATCAATGAAATCAGTGAAATGACAACAAGAAACAACCACTATGGGTCCTAGCAATATCGTCATAAATCCCAGACATGATATCTAGCATGATTGACAACTCAATTACTTTATCACATGGTGAAAACACGGGCATCAACAAAGTAGGACCTCTATACAGTGCCATGGAAAAAATAGAGTCCCAATTCACATGGTGCAC